ATAGATAGATAAATAGATAGATAGATAGATAATAGAGAGATAAATATTGATGGATGAATACAAATGTAATGGATAGATAGATGATAGATAGATAGATAGATAGATAGATAGATAGACAGATAGACAGATAGATAGATAGATAGATAGATAGATAGATAGATAGATATATTATAGGTAAATACATATACATACATGATATATAGATAGATAGATAGATAGATAGATAGATAATAGATAGATAGATAGATAGATAGATAGATAGATAGATAGATAGATAGATAGATAGAGATAATAGCTAGATAGATATAACACAGATAACACAAACTAATATATATATATGGAATGATGTCAGACAGGTAGAAAAAAAGATAGAAAAAAATAATATATATATAATATATATATATATATATATATATATATATATATGGAATTATGTCAGATAGAAATAGATAAAGATAGATAGATAGATAGATAGATAGATAGATAGATATATAGATAGATAGATAGATAGATAGATAGATAGATAGATAGATAGATAGATAGATAGATAGATAGATAGATAGATAGATAGATAGATAGATAGAGATAGAAAATAGAGAGATAAATATTAATGGATGAATAAAAATGTAATAGATAAACAGATAGATGGAATGCTGTCTGAGATATAATATTTAACAATTCAATAATTATATATTATTTTTCTCCCTATACTTTCACTTTACTTAAGGATTTATTGGGATGAGGGTAGGTAGCTTAGGGCAACATTTCTCATAATATTTTAGAAAAGGCTTGCTGTGACTTCTAGTGCGATCACATCTGAAGTGTCACTGGGTTAATATAAAAAACTAGAGCATAAGCTGCTCAAGACTTTTTTTTTTTTATACCAGGGAACATATAGTTTAACATTAGATCCATCGATTATTTTAATATTTGGATACATCACACAATCTTTTATAATTATTTAAGAGCTATTGAAATATATATATATATATATATTATATATATATATAATATTATATATATAAAATTAAAAATAATTGCTCTTAAAAATATTTAATAAGCACCGTTTATTTATATTTTATTAATGTTGTCGTAATTAGTATTATTATTCCTTTGATGTTAATACTGTTTTAATAATTATTAAGACTAACCTAAAAGTATTCTTTACAAAATAAATCATTTTCTTTACAGCTTGTGTTCATTTCCAGTCATGCAGGTCATTATTGTCATGTCAAATTTAGATTACCAACGGACGTGGTTGTTAAAATAATAAAAATCATGTAATTTTACCGAGAACATTTTATTGTGGTCTTACGTTTTAGAAAATAATGGGATTAATGATATCCAATTCCCTTTGTATAAGAATACATACAATATACTGTATGTTAATTATATATATTATATAATAGGTAACAGGATAATAACAGCAAGAACAATATTGATATTTCTCCTACTATTGCCACCACTATTCCTACTGCTACTGCTATTATTTTTACTATGAATACCATAATAGTAGTAGCAGTAGTAATATATTAAAAATAGTATCAGTAACACACTATTACTGCTACTACTACTAATAATTATAATAGCACTACTACAACTAATAATAATAACAATAATAATAATAATAATAATAATAGCACTACTACTACTAATAAAAATCATAGCACTACTACTGCTACTACTACTACTAATAACAATAATAATAGCACTACTAATACTACTAACTAATAATAATAATAATGAAAATAACAACAGCCTTTAGTTTGCCATGAAATGTAACCCATCCATGCATGAAGCTATGTAGTGTTATTTGCCTTGTAGCAATGCCAGGCTCCAGGCTCATGGGTTGGGTTGGGGTCCCAGGTACCCCTGGATTTTGCCCTATATGTGGAATTATTCTGACAGTCCTGAGTCAGCTCCAAGTCCCAGCCTAGGCCCATTATGGAGCATGCTCCGACAGCTCACATACACATCATCCTGCAAACAATTGTCTGCAACAAGCAGTGAAATCTTCGGAGTGCAATGAACATTGATTGAGTCTGGAAAGGTCTCATTCTCACAGCAACTACTAATAAACAGATACATATTACCGGAGGATCTCTCTGTAAGTAGTCTTAAAGGACTATCTAATCGGATTGACTTTTGATCCCAAAGTCGATGATTTTATATTGTTGATTTTTGCATTGGTGGGCTCAATAAATTGGGAGCAGAGAACGCTTTATAATTAGACTATGGGGAATCTAACAAAATCACACAATACATTCATGATACGGGCAAACACCTTTCTAATCCCAATAGAAATAATAAGATGAAATATGAGGATGTATTATGTCAAATGTAAATGTGAAAACAATGTCCGACAACAACTAATTTGTACTTCATATTGTTTTGATGGGATATATTTATTCATTAATTTCTGCATTCTATTTACACATATCTCTATAACTACTGTCATACTAACAATAGAAAAGCGAGGATGGGGGGGTATTATCAATCACACAGGGGGTATTATATAAACAGCAATGATGCAAAAACAATGTTATTGCTGAATAAAATATGTCATACAGTAACCAAAAATCGACCCGTTTTTATTTAGATTATATATTTAAAATGTTACACCTAATTAAACCAGCGTGCTGATTGGCCTCCCAAGAGGTCACATAGTCTGGACAGAACTCAAAGACCCTGGTGGTCTAAGCCCCGCCCATACTCTCTACCTGTCACCACATCATTCACATGTAACAAACTATGGTGAATTCTTCTCAGCCTTTAACAATTCAAAGACAGTATTTTGTTCAGACATGGAATGACTGCAAGTGGAACAAAAAAAAATCTAGCAACCTGCATGTGAATTTTTTTTTGTGTGTGCTACTTTTTGCTTTTTGAATTATAGAATATTGTCATTAGAAATTTAAAAGATGTGCTGTGCATGGTGGGAATGAATTACAGAGTTATATTTTTAGTTAGCCCAGTTAACATGGGTGTCCTAGAAATAGCCCTGCAGGGTTGGATTGGGGAGGGGGGAGGATTGTATTTTCTGATTGGGTGCTTGACAGAAATCCAGAAAAAAGTACATACAGCATATATATAATTACAGGGAGCGAGTTGTATTTCATTATATACCTGTATCATATGTATATATATATATATATATATATATATATATATATATATATATACACACACATTGTATAAAAAAAATTGATATATATATATTTCAATATATATAATTATAGATTATTTTTCTCCTTCTAATTTCACTTTATGTAAGGATCTGTAGGGATGAGGGTAGGTAGCTTAGGGCAATATTTCTGATAATATTTTAGAACATGCTTGCTGTGACTTCTAGTACCATGTATCTGAAGTGTCACTGGGGTAATATAAAAAACTAGAGCAAAAGCTGCCCAAGACAAGCAATTAGTCTCATTTTGCAGTCCCTGGGATAATGAAACAAGGTATTGGATTGGTTATTGTAACTGTTCCACTTCTTTCCTGTGGGTTTCATATTTTTTTGTTTTGTTTTGGGGTTTTTTTGTTACCCCTTGCATGAAAAGTTCCTTCAGCCCTATTACATCTGGACAGGCATTGTACTTGAAGCTGTATTAATCATTCACCTGTCTGCAGCAGCATTTGTAACTGTCCTGTGTTGTACAGTGATTATTGGGAGCTCAAAGTAATAGATCTAATTATCCTAGAAGGGAGGGCTGTAGATGCATGCTTCACTTCACTTCATTATTAGTTAAATATACTCTTTTTGGAAGGCGAGAAAATAATCTTCAGTTTTCTCTTTCCTACAGTCATATGAGTAGCAGATGAAGTCTGATTTCCAGGGTTGATTGGTTTTTGCACTTTGCACGTTGTTTCTGCACACATTAAAGAGGAACTCTGCCAAGTACTCCCATTTACATTGGCCCTCTAACCTCAAAACATATTTTTTTTTAAAAAAAAAATAGCTGTTACTTATGGGTTTCTCAAGCCTCTAACAGTCATACACATGTTGAAAAAAAAATAAATTGTGCATGGCTGTTCAGAACCTCCTGTCTGTTAATGGTGAAATGCAGAATGGTTGCCACCGGCTTCCAATAATCGTAATAAGACAAATTGTGCTAAACGCCTGGTTTAGGAGAGTAGATACTTCACTTTTTAACAGCTGCACTTTTCCCAGTTCCTGTTAAATGGGGGTTCAACAATTGTGCAATTAAAGGGCCAGGGGCATGAAACAGGTGTAAAAATATTTATAACATTCACAGTAATGTATGGAAAAGTCCAAAATTCTCAGGAATAGTTTGCTTTTCAAAATAAATGTTCATGCATTTAGTAAATAGGTTAAGGCTCTGTTCACTTCAATAAACCAATCATGTGCTAACAAAAATTATTATTATTTTTTTATTATATTCCTCCCAGAAAACTGGATATTAAAAGTGAATACATATTCCTCCTATTTGCTATTATTCACTGTGAAATGAGAACCCGTGTTGTCCTGCATGGTTTGTAGTCACAGCCTTTTGGGCTCATGGAGACATCATATGGGTCAATTTACAACAGACCGTTCATGTAGCAAAGAGAATGTTAACTTTTAAAAGTGAATGTTTACTGCATAATAAGCTGTGTGAAGCTGTGTTCACTTCAATCAGCAAATCATATACTACCAAATAATCTCATTTCTATATATCTTTTTTTTTTTGCATACAATTTTATTTTCTAAATGATCACAGCTGAGCTTAACCTTATTCACTAAACTCAGAGAACATTCACTTTTTGAGTAGCCACTACTCCATTAGTAATTCAACTCCATAGTGTTAATTGACAGTTTTGAAATAACCTGAAAGCAAGTCACGTGAATATATATGTTTCTTCATTTTTATTTATTTACCTATTTTCAATTTTTTTTTTTTAAATATATCCTATACCGCTATAGAAACAGTTTGTAATTTCTTTTTATTGGGTAAACAATCCTGATTGTAGATGTTTCTAATGTCTATCACTCACCTCTCCTTTCTCATGCAGCAAGTGATAGAGATTCTCCTGAGATCTCAGAAGGTGCAGAGAGACACTACAATAGAGGATACAGGAAACATAGCAATGATGCCTCTGAAGACAAGAGAGAGGACTTCCCCTGCAAGGAGGAGGAGAAAGCTGAGCAGGACTCAGAACAGAGGTCATCCCGCAAGAAGAAGACCCGCACTGTGTTCAGTAGGAGCCAGGTCTTTCAGCTGGAGTCCACCTTTGACATGAAGAGGTACTTGAGCAGCTCTGAACGAGCTGGCCTAGCGGCCTCCCTCCATCTCACAGAGACACAAGTAAAAATCTGGTTTCAGAACCGCAGGAACAAATGGAAAAGGCAACTGGCCGCTGACCTAGAGGCTGCCAATATCTCCCATACAACCCAAAGGATAGTCAGGGTGCCCATACTGTACCATGAGAACTCTCCTGCCACTTCCTTGGGTTTCAGCTTGCCACACATCTCCCCACCCTTGGTAGGCTTCTCCAGCTCTGTCAACTATCCCTTGACCACCTTCCCAAACTCAGTACCCTTTATAAGATCACAGATGACCGGACTGGTCTGAGAACTTTGTATCCCTGTTGGGACTATTTTGCCTACCTGTTTTGTATGAACTGCATATCGCTATTTACAGCATACTTGATTTTCTTGCATTTCAACTAAAAACGTGCAATAGCTTTGACTTGGGAGTCACTGCAAACAATACAACAACATGATGGCGCAAATAAACCTTTCTTTTTGTACTTCCAAAGAAATTCTTGTAGGTTTTTTCATGGTTTTTTTACTTTTTTGCTTTTTTAATTGTGTTAGGATGTTGGTCTAGTGTAGGAAGACTGGATCAAAACAAAATTGAACAAAACACTGGTTCTACCCCAATGTGGTACTTCTGGTGGGTTCAAAGTCATCATAACACCTAGGGAATTTAGCATATAATTAACCATGGACAAAGCATATATCAGAAATCAATTTCAGTTATTTAAAAATATTGGGTTGATTTACTGACTGGAGACTGTTCACTTTGCATGGTGCATGTTCACTTAGTTTAGCACCTTAATAAAGTAAAGCTGTGCTCATCAAACAGTGTACAAAGGATGTCAAAAACAGGACTTTTACTTGGACATGGTTGGATGAACATTCTCTAAACTAAGTGTACAGTCTCAATTCCTTTAATAAATAAACCTAATCTGGTTGTTTGGAGAACATTTATGCACAGTTGGGGGTTATACATGTACTCTTCTCAAGGGGTGCTTTAGAATAATGACTTGCATAAGAGGGCACTTGGCAAAAAGCAGATTTAATAAAGGGTCACTTACATTACCAAGTTGAGAAACACTGACTTATGGTAATCAACCAGATTCTGTGTTGCCTGTTTCCATTGAATGAACGATACCTAAATGTTTGCTATGGGCAACAACTTCACTTTAGTTCTAGTTTTCTTTGCTCTAGCTTTAATTTTACATTTTAATGTAGAACATAAACATGCAGTGATTACAAACATCCCAGATCTGTATAGAATTGATTATGCATGTTCTTTACTGCAAGTGAAAATGTAAGTTCTAACAAAAAATAATAATTAAAAATAACATTTACCAGTGATATAACTTGCTTTTTGGGTTTCCAAGGACATTTAAAGGTCCTTTCCATCTCTGTCCCTGGTTTTCAAAGCAATCCGGGCAACTGTAGCATAAAACTATTTTCAGTCCCAATAATCTCTTAATGTAGGCATGTTAAAGTCGTGTTTTTGTGCTGTATAAGGTCATTCCCATTCCCTCTTTGCATATCTCAGCCATTTTAAGGACTTAAGTTTAAATTAGGCCCTAAGGCCAAGCTCCACTTTTGAAGAAATTATTTTCGGACCCCTTTCTCTTGAATAAAATATTTGAGGATACATTTTTTGTTACTCAGACAAGTACCTGCATAGGGCTGCAGCAGTGGAAGAACCTAAGAGGGTGCTGCTCTTTATTTATTTAACTCTACTAAGTTTGGATCTATGTTTCATTTGTCTTTTTTTTTATTTGGCCATTTCTAACTTAGGATTTGCTGAGGAGCATCATTTATAATGTGAAGAAAATGTTTGCTTGAATGTGATAAATGTTTAGATTTTGACATGTACTATTTTGAAGTCCATTGAGACGATACTCTACAGCAGGGGTCTCCATACTTTCTAAATAAAGGGCGAGTTTACTATCCTTCAAACTTTGGGAGTGGCCAGCTGGAGTAGAAAATGTCTTTGTATCAGTGGGAGTTAGCAGTGCCCCATTGTTGGTGTCAGCTGGAGGAATAGTGCCCCATCGTTGGTGTCAAGTGGAGAAATAGTGCCCCATCATTGGTGTCAGCTGGAGGAATATTGCCTCATCATTGGTGTCAGCTGGAGGAATAGTGCCCCATCGCTGTTGTCAGGTGGAGGAATAGTGCCCCATCGTTGTTGTCAGCTGGAGGCATAATGCCCCATCATTATTGTCAGGTGGAGGAAAAGTGCCCCATCGTTGGTGTCAGGTGGAGGAATAGTGCCCCATTGTTGGTGTCTCTGGGAGGAATAGTGTCCTATCATTGGTTTCAGTGGGAGGAATAGTGCCTCATCATTGGTGTCATTGAAAGGAATAGTGCCCTGTTGATGTTATTGGCAGCTGACAGTGGTGGTAATAATGGCCCAAGGGTCAGATAAAAGCAAGCAAAGGGCCCCATTTGGCCGGAGTTTGGAGATCACTGCTCTACAGGAAAAGTGCAGATGTGACAGGCTGAGGTACTAAAGGGTATGTTCTCATAGCTTAAAAAAAATATGATAAAGAAGGATTCACTTTGAACACTTTCAGTAGGAGGTTGTTGGAAAGGAGCATTTTTTAATGTAAAGAAAATGTGCAATTAAATTTCATAAACTTTTTGATATTGGACATGTACTTGTCTAAAGTGCTTGTAAAAGTAGAAGGTTTTTTACCTCTTTCTCTGCATTCTCTGCATTAGGGAAAAAAATGTTTGTGTTCAGAAGCACCCCCTAAATAATTACCTGAGTCTAATCTCGATTCAGCTCTGTGCCCGAGAGCAACGTCTTTCTCTGCTTTCTCTTCTCACTGGCCATGAAGGCAGCAACAGAAACCATTGGCTTCTGCTGCTGTCAATCACAGCCTGCGAGGAGGGAGGAGGGAGCAGGGTTAGGCCGTGCTTTGCGTTTCACTGTACACACAGAGCCAAGCTCTGGATCAAGCCCTCATGAGTGCCTTCATAGCAAGTGACTTGCTATGGGGCACTTGGAAGGGGAGGAGGAGCTGGGAGCGCTGGCGGGGGATCCCAGAAGAGGAGGATCGGGGCAGCTCTGTGCACAGAGCAGGTAAGTATAGACATGTTTGTTATTAAAAAAAAGAATTACCTTTACAATCACTTTAAACATTCAGATTGTATGCAATGAGGCTAAGTTACTATAGGAATACAGATTGGTGTCTCAGCTTAATGAATATGGTAAGTTTAGGTTCATTTTGAATATCCAATTAAATTTTTTGAAAAGTGAAATATCCATTTTGCTTTAAAAAAAAAAACTCCAGTGGCTAAGCAACAGCATGTTCCTGAAAATTGCTTTACAAAATATTGAAATTTATGAGACTGACTGCACTCTTACTTTACAAAGTGCAGGTCACACTGCTATCTGGGGCAAGCAATGTTCACTTTCCTTTAACCTCTTTTCACCATACTGTATTTAACAAACCAAATATTATTTAAATCATTTGATTTGTTAGAAATATGAAATGGTGCATTTACAAATAACAAAAAAACTTTATCATTCTCTTTTTTTTTTTATATTGACTTAAGTTTTCAGCATCCAAGCTATTTAATTTCACCATTGTTCTTAAGTGTGGATGGGTGGACATACAGTATGTGTGTACCCAATCGACACCAGTTTTGGACGGCAACATAGAACTTTCCCTCTAATACATAAGGTGTTTGTATCTATATTAGTGCACTTGATGTAGTCAAGTATTGTGCGTGATACTTTCATCGTTTGAAGATCAAGTTTTTAGGAGATTCATTCTTCATCGGTGTACTGTATTGACTTGGAGGAGGTGGATCTTTCAACAACCTGTCCAGAAAAAATGACCTGTTAATGCAAATAGAACAGTAAGTAGCACATGCAGTACTCAGCTGTTTTGTTCTTTTGCTACTTCAAAGAATTCAAAGAAATACCTGTGAGTGATGGCTAGCAGGCAAGTCACAGGAATGTCAGTACACATGCATATTTTTACAGTGCAAGACTGGGGACATCCATGAACAATAAATGTGATAAAAGTACTTACAGAAATATCAAAGTAGCTCAAGGCAAGTTTTTTTGGAGACAGACACACACACACATATATATAATGCAAGGGCTTGACAAATTTGCTTTATCTAGGGGCCAGCTAAAAAAGTTAGGAGCCAGTTTTTTAAAGTAACTGCCCGGCGCCCTGAGGCATTGGGCAATAGGAATTGTTCACGCCTGGTGCCAAACGAAAAAAGACCAAAAATTAATTAAAAAAAAAAGTTGTTTAGTTTCTGTTATAAAATTTAGCAAATATGTAATTTTTCTTCTTCACTGATGTGCTCTGATGGGCACTGATAGACTGAACTTATGTGCACTGATGAGGCTGCACTGATAGGCAGCACTGATGAGGAGGCACTGATAGGTGACCCTGATGGACACTGATAGGTGGCACTGATGAGGAAGTACCGATAGGTACTGATGAGGAGGTATTGATAGGTGGCACTGATTAGGTTGCACTGATATGTGGCACTGATAGGCACTGATAAGTTGCACTAATGGCCACTGATGGGCACTAATAGGTGGCACTGATGAGGAGGCACTGATAGGCAGCACTGATAGGAAGCACTGATGAGGCTGCTCGGATAATGAGATTGGATCTGTTCTGTTACCTAACCTAAATCTGTGTTTCCCTCTTAGTGGGGGTGAGGGGGGAATAAAAGGAACTGAAGCAACAGCCAGCTGCCCCAAACTCCTTGTCCACTCACCAGAGGAATCTGGCACCCATCACTGCAATCCAAGCACCCAGCTGTCAAACTGGGAAGGAGATGTCAGAGGTGGGTGGGCAGTAAGAGCAAGCAAGGGGAAACCCTCAGTCAGAGTGGAAGGCGTACCGCGCTCATCACAGCCCCCCCGCCTACCAGAGGAGGGCGCCGGTTCCCACAACTGAGCACTGGACAGCCCGACCGATGCACCTGCAGGGGGGGGGGGGGCACATGGGAAGATGAGTCCAGATTACTACTGCAGTGTAGCCCAGGCGCCAGGACGCAATTTCCAGTCACCATGGCGACCTGGCGCCAGGGATTTGTCGATCCCTGTATTATGCGGAATGTGAATTCATATCAATTAAAATAAATATAAACCCAATCACTAAAATCTCATATTAACATTAACATATTAACACCTTCCTGCCCGGCCTATAGCAGATTGATGGCCGGGTGGGAGACTCGCCATTGTGACTGGGCGTCATATGACGTCCTGTCAAAATGAGCCACTCATGCGGCCGCGGGGCCGTGCAGCGGTATGATCTGTCACCGCCTGTCACAGCCGATGACATATCA